CTATATTACAACGGAATGACACAACGCTGAAGTATTTGGCAAGTCTGCTCTACTCTCGCTCTAGTTTTAATTTTAGACGGTAGATACTGTTAGCTATTTATCGGTCGGCTTCACAAAATATTTAGAATATTACTGACTATATGCATAGTATATGCGTTGAGAATACCGTTGAAATATATTCTGATCTTTTCAGGCGGTCAGATTTCGACCACCAGGCGGTCAGATTTCACAGCGTTTTGACATGATTTTCATCAGACCTTCGTTTTGCGCCTCCCACCCGCGAATTTTAGGGCGAGCAAAACGAAGGTCTGTATTCAGGCTAAGTTTCAGATGGCATGCAATATGTACGCACTGCGTACCTATTTTTAAGAATGGCAAGCGTAATTTGGCTGGAAATTATCGTCCAATCTCGGTCTTGCCAGCCATAAGCAAAGTTATGGAACGTATTTTATATAGCCAACTATATGAGTATTTGTCGCTAAACAACCTCCTCTCAGAACATCAGTTTGGTTTCCAAAAGTTTCACTCGACTGCATAAGCCTTACTTGACTGTACAAATGATTGGTATTTAAACATGGATCGAAAATTGTTTAATTTGGTTGTATTCATAGACTTAAAAAAAGCATTCGACACTGTTAACCACGACATCCTATTAGAAAAGCTATTTACTATTTGGAATTACGGGCAGTGCATTTCAACTCCTAAAATCATATTTATCCAATCGTACCCAAAAATGTGAAATAAACGGCTTTACTTCTAAAGAAAATATTGTAAAATGTGGCGTACCCCAAGGCTCCATATTAGGACCATTATTCTTCCTGCTATATATTAACGATCTACCATCTTGTCTAAATGAAACTAGACCCCGGATATTTGCAGACGACACAAATATTACAGCATCCGGAAATTGCATGAATGATATTGAATCTGCAGTAAATTCGGATTTAGAAAGACTTCGGAAGTGGCTTATGGCAAATAAACTGAGCTTAAACGTAGCGAAAACTGAATTTCAATTAATTGGCACTAAACATATGCTTAAAAAAATTAGTGATTACCAGCCAGCAGTTACTATTCGAAATAAACCAATAAAGCAAGTTTTCCAATGCAAGACTTTAGGAGTTACTGTTGACGAAAATCTTTCTTGGAAAAGAAACACTGAGAGTATATGTAGTAAAATATTATCTGGGATATATGCTCTCAAACAAATTAAAACGTTTGTTGATATAAAAACACTCATATCGGTATACAATGCTTTGATCCAACCCTATTTCAGTTATTGTTGTGAAGTATGGGATGTATTTGGCGAAACCCAATCTAAACGTCTGCAAAAGCTTCAAAACAGAGCAGCTCGCATCATAGCAAGTGTACCGAACGATGTTGATCAGCAAACTGTATTGGATTTATTAGGATGGAAAACATTAAAAGAACAACGATTAAAAACTAAAGCGAAAACAATGTTTAAGATACTTCATAATATGGGGCCAAATTGCCTCAAAGACTTATTCATTTTCAAAAAAAATGAAATATTGAATCATAATCTACGTGACAGCTCGACCACATTACGGTTGCCAAAGCCACGTTCGAACAGTTTAAAAAAGAGTTTCATGTATGACGGAGCTGTCATATGGAACTCTTTGCAAGAAATTATTAGAGAAAGCAAAACGCTATCAATTTTCGAAAGGAAAATCGCTACCCATTCTTATTAAAGCATGAATGTAAATAGTAAATTAACGTATATTATATAGTATATTTTCTTTTTCACATATATGCATGTAATTTCTTACTACCTTTATCTTTTTTTTTTGTAAATTTACTTTTGTTCACACGTCCATTGTGGAAACCAGCTTTAGCTGACAATGTTAGCGTGGTTAAATAAAGTTTATTATTATCATCAAAATTTTACTGACGTTTCGATCATTTAAGGCCATTTATGTTTGAATTTTTCATTTGTTTTGCACTTGTATTAGCTATCCTGGAAATTGTAAAGAATTTTAATGTGCCAAGGTCCAATTCACGAGTTTTGCCGTTTTCAAATGTGCATGGTTTTGCCAAACTTTTTTACCGAAATTAATCGTAAATAAGGCAAGTTCGACTTTCGACATTAGGAAAATTACTATGTTTTGTAAGCAGTACGTTTTGTAGTGGTGCTAAACCGACGCTTGTATAGGAAGGGGAAGCTAAAATAGATGAGGGGCAATGATTAAAAAGTAAGAATCATAGCTAAAATTTGGAGAAACTGATGTACGTTAATTAACGTTAAAGAAAACTGATGTAATGTGCGGAAAAAATTTTTATTTTAAATATTTAAACTTTACTTTTTACATAAGATCTCTGGTTAAAATAAAGACAGCTATTTGTCCAAAAGTAAATGACTGACTGTTTTTGTTCAACAAGTTATAATTTAGTGATTAAAACAATGAAAAATGTTGTCAAAATTCTCGAGGAAATGTTTGCCGAAAAACAGGCAAAAACTTCCCGCCCTTTTTTTGCCGTGCTCGATCGAGTTATTGAGCACGCATTTCAACCAATCAAAACCGTTCTTATATAACATATATATCTTAAATATATATTTACTATATATATAATTAATTTCAGTTCTACCCAGATCGTGGAAACCACAACCTATAGATGAAGATGTCCACCTAGTCGATTTGTCTAGTTCATCGATTGAATACCAGAAAGTCATTAATCTCTTTGGTTCTGCAATCGACTCAGTAATAGTCCAAAAGATCGAAAGAATTCAAAATCCTCGTTTATACAAAATGTATATTAGTAAAAAAGAGTCGATGGGAATGGAAGCAAACGAGAAGCAGCTGTTTCATGGAACGAAATCGGAAAATGTTTCTTCTATCAACACAAACAATTTCAACCGCCGTTTTTCTGGCATAAATGGTAAGAATAATTCGTTCTCTCAAAATTTGTTAGAAATATATGTTTTCTTAGTTAGACATTATACAGACAAGACAGGACATGGCGACGGATCGTGGCGTTTCAGAATTTCTAAAAAAATTTATGTAGGCCTAATATGACAGCAGAAATCTGAAGTTACAGCAAGTACAAAATATAGAGAAATTTCCAATAGAGATGTTCAGACTTTGCTTCCACTATATGACTAGCGGCGTCATTTTTTTGCACCAGTCTTCTAGCTTTCAAACGCAACAATACAAGTATTTGATTGGCTGAATTACGTGCTTTATTTTGATACATATATATATATATATATATATATATATATATATATATATATATATATATATATATATATATATTTGTGGCAGCTTGTAGAATATCTGATTTGGTGTGGATGCGTATCAAGCCCCTACTCAGAAAAATTCTGAGCCCTAACGGGAATTGAACCACGTAACCTTCTGATAACCGGACAGACGCTCTAACCATTGAGCTATAAGGCATCAGATGGTGAGCCAAGGCATCAGATGGTGAGCCACACAGAACCGGTAAATAACGTTAGGGGCGGATCTAGGGTAAGTCCAATCAGTCGCGTGACTGGCGTATTTTTTGCAAAGAAATAATTAATTTATTATTTCGAAATTTGAATAATTAATTCCCGAACATAATATGAAATTCATATCATAGTTCAGTATACGTCTTTACGAGCTCAGTTTTGAATAAATATATGCTTTATCCAGAGCAGCGGTAAAACGCAAGAATCTCGCAGAATCGGGTAGTCGTTATGCTCATTTGATTGGTCTAGAGGTCATTTGGACTTATCTCGTCTGATCTGTGGGGCGGGGCCGGACTGATTTACACTTTAAGGGAGTCTTTATCAGTCCATTTCGTTCCTTTGATTGGTCAATTTGAAAATATTGTGGGGTGGTCGGACTGAATTGCAACTTAAGGGAGTTTTAATGGGGTGATCCGACTGATTTGCACTTTAAGAGAGTTTTTATCAGTCCATTTCCTTCATTTTGAATGGTCAATTTGAAATTATTGACAATTTCTATTGGTTCATTCTTTTGGACTGATTCGGACTTATTCGCGGTAGGGGATATCAGTCCTTGAAAATTGCGAAATTCATGCAAAGCAGTCTTTCAATGTTTAATATTCCCGTATATAAAGGTTTTTCATAGTTGGGAGAATTATTTTACGATGTTGAGTATTTATATGTACGCGGCCGATTTTACGAGACGATTTAACGGCCTTTAATAAACTTTAATTGTCTCTGAATGAGGATTATTGTGGGCAGCTAAGATATCAAGCGAGCAGCTTTTATAATGTTGTTCTGTTCAACAACGAGCACTAAGTTGGAACTTCTCTGCTACGTGCTTCACAATAAATCACAAAGATCATGGTCGTAATTTGGGTGGTAAAGGCAAAGGGAAAGTGTGCACTGCTATAATGTATGAAAATATCCAAAATTATGAAACAGAAATGAATATATTGCAATGTATCTTGTACGATAAATGCCAAGTTGAAATATAATACGCTTTAATACATTTTTACACGCAATCGACTTGCAACTTGCAATGCGCTTTCGGGCCTTATAGCTTTTCTGTTGTATTTATAATTTATAAATGCATTGTCCATTATAAAAAGGGCCAGAATAGAGCATTGGGATTGGAGGATTAAAACAATATAATTTGGATGATTTGCATTGCATGAAAGATTTGCGATGAATATCATTATAATATACAAGGATTTATAGCATATTGTAATTAATTTACAAAGTATAATTGAAATATTACTCTTTATTTTGCTATTCTCTCTCTATATATATATACGTAATATAAGCTTCAATTTAAGGTAAAATTCAACCACAAACGCTTCGCAAAACGTTTTAAAGTGTTCTTTATAAAACTAAACTGCCTTTAATTTAAAGATATGCTTTTATAATTTAATGGCTTTATCGATAAACTTTTAGTTTGCAATAAAATGATTTCAAATTCTCGCATGCAAATAACTTTGGGGTTTTTTTTTATTTAAAATAATCAATATGAAAGAGAATCAATATTAAAGATACACTGAAATTATATGCTGTCTTGTTTAGTTGTTTCATGACGCAAAGGCAATTATAAAATCAATATTTAAAACAAACTTACCTTCGTTAACGTCGGCTCCCTTCTGTTAGCCGATTCTTGCGCCCTTTCTTTCTGAGAACGCTTTTGAAATTTACAAAATCTTGCAAAAATGCGAGCAAAAATGAAATATATTTGCAAGAAATTTTTCAACATCAAATCAAGAAATGTTTGCTATTTCGCTGTCGTCATGCAGTCGTTATAATGCAAACTTTAAATTGGACCAATCAGTGTCCGCTATTCATGACAATCCGCCATATTTTTGATATCAGTGGGGATGACCACCCACCGAAACATCGTTGGTGAGTCACGCCCGCGATCAATGATGAACTTTAGACTTCGCTAATGCTTCCGTTTCCCCGGGTGTAAATAGCCGGGGGAATTAGTACCCTCCCACGCCTTCGCGCCGTCGGCTCGGGGATTACAGAAAACAAAGAGGTGGCTATACGCACGAAGAACTGTCTTTATTATACTATTAAATTTCAACCTCGAATGAATTAGAAAATCCAAGATGGCCGCCAACGTAAGAGTGTCCACAAAATTTAAGTGCTTAGAGCGGCTTAAAAATGCGTTTAGTCTTTGAAATTTTTTCTTCTTTTTGACGTTCGTTCGCTAAACAAAATTAACAGTCAAAATTATTATAGTATTACGACAGATGTTCTCCAGCTGGACAGGCTTGCTTAAGAGGACACGGAAAGTGTTTTGAACTGGGGATGTTAAAATTGGTTTTACCCTTCCAAAGACTCTGCTGTGCGACGATTGGAGCGAGTTTATGAGGAATATTTTATACAGTGATTCAAAGAAATGTACTGTATATGTTATTGATCTATTGTTGAATGTCACTTATGCACCTATCAATGTTAACCCCCAGAGGGGGGGGGGTTCGGGCATATGTGGGGTATTTGATCATCAATTGCAACCCCACCCTGGGGATTTTGAT